GACAATAGATCTGTTGATAGCTCATAATTTAGATCAAAATTCGTGAAACTAAAATGACAAGGAAAATACTTTATTGAAAATTTTTAATAAATTTAAAATGTTAATTGGAATTTCTAGATCATTTTGTGAGACAAAAGAATTCCAAAATTGTTGGGAAAAAATTATTTAAATCAAAATCATCCGTTAAATATAGTTTTACTGTTAAAAATTTAAAAAAGTTGACTCTACGCATTTCTATCTTCCTTTTTTTGCTATAAAAAGACTTTACCTGGAACCTTTTGAACTGAAATTTTAGTCAAAAGAACTTTTTCACCTCACTACGAATTGCACATCACGCTTTTTCGCATGAGATTACAAGATGAAATGTCCAGTAATTTTTCAAAGCTGATAAAAGTAACGACTTCCAGTCTAATCTCATTTTATGCAAAGTTATTATCAGTTCAGCACGTGATAATCTGCGCGTCCCGAAAGAAAAACAAAGTTTGGGAAATTCAAGTGAGAGACACCCGGCGGTGGAAAAACAAGAGCAATCTGGCAGAAAGAGAAGAGCAAACCGGTCGTTTGCCAAAAGGAATGGCAAGGATAATATCCTCTTTAAATGTTCTCTCTCATTCTTGAGTGGAAAAGTTTAGGAGGAAATTTTGGGGAAAAAATTAATTTGCATTTAGTATGGAGAGGGGAAAACGAAACTTTATGTCTCATTTTTATAATACAAACAAAGTGGAATGAGAGGAAACGAAACTTTGTAATGGAAAAGATTTTTTTTTTATACCAGAATTACAAGAAATAAGGACATGCAAAAATTTGTTAAAGGATATCATAAAATTAATTCTGACTGGATACATGATCAGGATCAAAATGTAAATTGTAAAATCATTTTGACATCAAGTACAATTTAATTAATAAACCTACATCAATTGCATACCAGTCTGGTTCTTCTGAATGCCAAAAGATTTTAAGTTTTAACTAAAACAAATGCCCCAATTTTATAATTTAGCATAAAAAAAAATTTTGATTAAAAGGGCTCAAGTGAATATTTTCCTGGTAGAACTGCATTAGTCTTAAACACATTTATAAATTGAATCAGTCAAAACGAGCAGTTTTTTCGCCCGTTTTGTCTCTTATTTTACAAATAAAATGGATAGTAAAATTGAGTCTGAAATAAATTTTGTCTTTGTAGCTTTTATTAAATAATAAGCTTTTGCTCAGTTTTGTTTGAATAAATTTGAATATAACCCAAAACTCAATCCCTGAAATCGTCAACTCTCATGGAATCGCAATATCAAAGCCTTTTGTTAATAATGATCTCTGTTTTCATCGGAGAGGTTGCAGAATCATGTTTGGAAACGCTGAAATTACACCACTTTCCTCTTTGTCAGCCCGAACGCGAATATCATCGTCTGACGGCAAAACATGATGCTGAGTAAATTAATATCACGCGGCACATGATGAATTCCAACGCGCGCGACAAATGTTGCGCGCAAATCCCGCTGAAAATTTCCTCAACCGCGGGTTTGTTGGATGTGAAAATATTAGTTTGGGGATCCCTAGGAGCGAGCGAGGCTATTATGCCCAACGAGAATAAATTCGCAATTCTAAGCAAGAAATTCTGGTGCGCTCAGCCTCTGGGCCTGTTTAAAAGCCGTTTCCGGCACTCAGCCTGATGGGCTTTGAGAGTGTGAAAAAGTGCCGAGCCTCCCGCAGTGCACATTTATCCGCCTGCATCCAACACAAAAGGTGAAAATGGATGTTGCGCCAAAAGAGAGCGGAGAGGGTGCGTAGATATAATTTTATGAATTTATGCAGATGATGCTGCAAGGCAAGGGTGGAAATTCCTTCTGCAGATCCTTAATTCGCTCGGGTGGAAAAGGGTTGTTGGAATTAAAATGACAAATGGTGCGGGGCCTCGAGAAAGTTGGCCAAGTGATTCTGCATGCAGAGGATTATACGTCGGTTTATTATTATCACTATAAGAAAGAAAAGATAAAGAGAAAGTGAGTTTCCACTTCTCCCCGCTAACCGTCCGTGAAATTATAATATTCAACAGCCAACTTTTCAACAGGCCACGCAGGATTTATTCATTGGTCTGCGTAACAACTTTTTGAATTGCTCCCAGAAAAGTCATTTCCTCTTCGCGCTACCTCGCTTTATAAACAACATATCCGATCATTGTCTTTGGAATGTAATAAGAATATTAAGATGTTGGTACCAATTGAAAAGGGAAAAATTTTAATTCACTGTTTTTGATCAGAATAAATACTTTAATAAGTGGAAAATATTTCTTGTATTTTTAAATCTTTGAGGTCAACTTTGATAAGCAAACTGTAATTTTAGATGTAAATGGGAACATTCCTGGTTTTTCATCTGTGTTTCATTAGTGTTTTGGAAATTAATTTATTCAGAGTTTTAACATAAACACATAACTTTTGGCGTTGAGCTCTAAAATCTACAATAACCATAATTTTTTTAGAATAAAAAATTTCATGATGATCTTCAGCCTCCTTTTAAATGGAAAAGTTCCATAATAAATTAAATAAGGTACGTGTGAGAATGAAAGTGCTTTCAAGTCTTTTGAATTGAAGCGTCCGCTCTGGTCGTTTCATTGTCAGCAAATCTCTCTCGGCCGTCACGCGCCATAAAGGGGGGACGGGTGCGGTTTGTTTTCAGTGACATTTGCGGCCGAGAGCCAACTTTTATACTCAAATCGCACCTCGGCCTGGCGTGAAGGCGCCGTAAAGTGGTAAAACTCCACAAATCTCTGGCTTCAGTGTACACAGAGAGAAAGAAAGACATCGCGCAGAGAAAAAGCAGCCTCGCCGTGTAACAGGAAGAGGAGGAAACTCTGGAAATTTATGCCGCAAAAGAGAACAAAAAGCGAGAGATTAAGGTGGATTTGTGCGCGTCTTCTTCGCTACACTGGGGATCATAAATTTAAATTAGATATTCATGAAATAATGCACTTTTTGCTCTGTCCAAATCTCTTTTGCCTTATCAAAGCAGCATTATAACTTTGCCTTTGTTTGCGTGCAATAAAAATAATTGCTCCCTATGTGGGAGGACAATAAAGATACGCATATGCCTAGGGGACCTTGCAAAACAACCAGAAGCTGCAACCACTCGCCTGCAACCCTAAATTACGGCGCAATAATCGACTTATTCTTTAGCGTGCATGCGGTGTTAATTAAATAAATGAGGAAGCAACTAATGCGAGTCAGCCTTTGTTCCGATAATTACGTTAATATTTAATGGCCAGCTAATTGTACGTTGCTTATATTGAGAGGCTTAACTTGAATCGTGGGTTTTGCTGTTAATATGAAATATGAAATAATTGTTTGTAATAAAAACATATCAATACATATAGCAACGAATCCACACGAAATTAATTAAAGAAGTTTCTAGTCAATATCAGTTTGATTGAGGGAGCACAAAAAAAAAAAAAAATCAAAAAGTATAAACTGAAAGAGGCACGGTATAAGATTCTTTGAAATTGCCAGTGAATAAATTTGGAATTAAGTCTCTTCAAATAAGTTGCAAAACAGCTTTTGTTCTGAACAAACAACATGTTTACGAGCGGTTTTTTTTCAGTAAACAACCGGGGTCTTTCATTTTCCCCTCAAATTCATTAAGTTTGAATAAAAAACGAAAACAGAAACTATAAAATGAAATGATATATTTAGATATCTTCATTCAGAGGAGATATAAAAAATCTGCTGATATAAAGAGGTGTAATTTTTAATAAGCATTCTAAAAACCCATATTTTTTAAGAATTATTTTAGATTTTATTGCTTAAGATACCCACTTTGATTTTTATTTTGTTATACTATAAGATCAAGTTTATCTAGGCGTAAACTTTGCACATAAATTCCCGTATCTGAAGGTTCACTTCATAAATTCGCAAGTTCATAAATATTTAAGGTAGGCGCAAGACTCGCTCGGCGTCTTGAGGGTATTTTCTATTTTGAAGGCTGTCAAAATAACCCTCGACAGCAGTTTCTTGCCGGATTTAAGCGCACGCGGCACCTGCCTGGAATCGAGCGAGACCAGCATCTCTAGCCCTTCTAGTTGGTTGCTCTGTGTGTGCAGAGGGGAGTAAATTTTCGATGCTTTGTTATTGAATTATCACCGAGGCCGCGCGCTGCTACAACTGGTGTGTATGTGTTGGGTTGGTTAATTTTGTAGGCAGGTAGCATCGCATTCACCGTGCTATCGCATAATTAGATAACAGACTCACACTGTGTGACAGCAATGCAGCGGCGCTTTAGTTCAAACTCTTGATCCACTTTGCACATCGGATTTGAATGTATCGTGTACACGCCTAATTTCATTTGCTAGTCACATTTATGTCTCTGAAAGGAAAACGGGTTGGAGAATTTTCCCCAAAAAATTCAAATATTTAAATGGAGCCAAAATTGGAAATCTTCCATAATAGATGATGATGTTAGTTTCATAATATTTAAACAAAATAGACTGGTGGTTTTTTAACGATCATAGAGAGGAGTAGTTCAATTTAGGTCTAGTAAACATTTAGCAAATTATTCTCGATTTTATTAAGCTTTATTTAGGTGATTATTATTCGTTTAATTAGTTATTTATTTGAAAAAGTTTATTTTAGATGTTTTAAAATTTAAATTAGATGATACAATGTAAAATTTAAATAGGTTTTTTTTATCTTAAGACTTATGATTTATCTTTGGTGATTCTTATTTATATTGTTTTCTTTTATGCCAATTGAGGTAAAAGAGGAATCAGGAATCATCCATTTTTGCCATCCTTAATTTAGGTGAAACTTCCTGAAATTTTCCATTTTTCTACAGTGGGTCAGATAAAAAATTTCTCTGAATTTGTTCCAATTTAAGAAGAGCTCTTAAATTGAAGCGAATATTTGACCAAATATTAAGAAGAAGAAAAAACGAAATTCTTTGAATTCAGCTAATAAACAAGGACGTATTTTTTCAAATTTCATAAATAATAATAATAATTACAAAAGCACAAAACTTACCAGTGAAGTTGGTTGGAGATGCGGGAGGTTGAGTCTGAAACAAAGAAGCAAACGGCCATGTAGAAATTGTCACACAGAGGGGAGCTAAAGTCCATGAGAGTAGCGCGTTTGGCGAACAGGCTTTCGCACTCTGAGGGCGCCGCGATAAGATGTGTTCCCACCAACACACACACACATCTCCAGCTGCCTCTCGCCCTGATAAAAACTAACTGATGCGGTGGTGTGTGAGCACCTTTCAACAACAGCCAGACCATTCGCGCACATCCACCGCCCGCCAACCACATGGGCAAAGCCCCCAAGGCCTCTCTTGCCTCATAATAGGCTTTCATCTATATTCTCGCCTCTCCTTTCTAGACGCACACCTGACTCAAAAAGTTTTGAGCTTGGTGAAAAAACGACATAATCAAAGTAAAGGAAAGCAAGTCTTGTGGGGATTGGCACGAGTTTGTTTACTCGTTGTCGGCGTCGGAATGAAATCCATAATGTATCGGCTTGAATGATAAAAAGAGTAAATCATTCCAACAGTATTAGGAACCAAATCAAAACGTATTTAATTTTTTAATACTGCAGTGCAGAATTGCTTTTTAATTGAGTTATAACGTTCGTGAGATAATTTGATAACCCTAGTTCGATGTTTCAATGCCATGATATTAATAAATAAATGTACAGTTTCTCACATATAAAAATATTTCTTTTGAAAAATTTTATATTTGTGTATTATTTATTCTTTTTGGTACGTCAAATATTTTAAATTGTTTACTGTGCTTTTAAAATGGTTTTTTTTATTCATAATAAATCTAAATCAGGATTTTAAATTTTTTTCCTGACAAAATTTTTTCCAATTAAAATTATGCTGATCTCATGCAAAAACGGTACAAAAATGGTGCAGAACCGGTTAAAATGTTTTGCATCAGTTTTACACCAGTTCTGCACCATTTCCAAACCATTTCTGAACCAAAGCCTAATTAAAGTTGGCGCTAATTATTTATTTTTCCTCAATATATTTGTTTACTAAGCTTTTGAAATGATTTTTTTATTCAAAATAAATTAAAATCAGGATTTTATGATTTTTTTCGTGACAAAATTTTTTCCAATTTGAAATAAGTGCTGATCTTGTGCAAAAACGGTACAGAAATGGTGCAGAACCGTTTCAGATGTTCTGCATTAGTTCTACGCCAGTTCTGCACCTTTTATGAACCTGTTCTGAACCAAAGTCTAATTAAACACGGCGATTATTATTTATTTTAACAGTAATATTTTTGTTTACTAAGCTTTTTAAATGATTTTTTTTTTATTATCTAAATCAGGATTTCAAAATTTTTTTTTCTGTCGAAATTTTTTGAGTACTTTGAAAAGTATGATGTAACATAGAATATATTAATGAGTAGTAGAAGCAGGGAAGATATATTTTTTTTTCAATTTACCTTTGAGGCTAAAAAACTTCTTAAAATAAATAAATTTAATAAATATATTATATACTTATAATTTATAATAATATTTAACAAGTCTGTTCATTTTCTGAATTATTATGATTTTTCTTTTTAGTGAAAACATAATTTGAATGAAAGTTAAATAAAAAAAGTGGGTAAATAGAGTCAACCACTGCGATTATTATCGGGCGGCCGGCTCGCTCCCTCCTCCACCACCTCTGTGAATTCAGAAAATTCCAGTCGGTGGAACCCTCTTAATAAAAGTCGACCCACACACACGCAGGCTTTTAGTCGAGCAAAACCTACGACACTCTGCCCCGAATCTTGTGGCGCGGACTGAATTTTTTATCGGTGTCATCTCGCAGACGCCGTCGTGAATATTAAAGCGTTGCGCAGCAATTTTCGCCTGCATTCCAAACATTAGTTGCTCCTGGCAAAGAGGCGAAGGAGGTCACGCAGCAGTTTTCGTTCCACGCGGGAGGTCAGTTGTGTAGTTTACAACTTGCATTACTCTACGTAATGCAGGCGAAGAATGTGGCCAGGTATTCCGGTGGCGCTAATGCGCTCTCCATTACTCCCGGTTGGCGGCACACACCACTGGCTCTTCGCCGCGTCCGCCAGGCTTTTATAATTTACGGCCACCGGCAGGTATTAGCGCCGAGGCTTGTTTTAGCGCGAACAGAGCTAAACAGTTATGCCGGCAGCCAAATGGCATTTTACTTCCTCAAGCCGGCGTCGAGGCATGGGAGCTCTAAAGCCTTTTAAACTGTTGGTGGCGACCATTTTCTACGGGTTAAGTAAGCTGTTTAGGAACAGCTCCAACATTTTATGTCCAAAATGAAGTTTAAAGTACTGTATGCTCTCTTTTTCAACGTAAACATGCATTTTGGGTTTTAATTGGATTTTGGTTAAAATTAGAAATTGTTTGAATTTTTTTCTCGTTTTAAAATTATAGTTCAATTATATAGACGATTTTTCATAAATATAACATGATTTAAAAAAGTTAATTTAATCTTTTTATTCTAGCATAATTCTGATTATTCTGACAATTCATCCATGGTATGTACACACGTGTCATTCTAATTCAGAAACATATGAGATTTAAAAGTGACTTTAAAGGAAAATAATATAATTATTATTTTTTCAATTATCTATAAATGATTCTTCTCTATAAATAGCACGATAAATTCGCTGCATACATTTTCAGTTATTCACATTCGATCCAGTGCATGTTTTAGGGATGCCGACACAAAGAAAACTCACTTCCCTCTTTTGCGGAAAAGTGCTTCATCATCGAGAACCTTTTGTGATCCGCACTTCTCTCCATCTTTGTCATCTTTGTGTGCTCCGAAACAAGCCCTTCCTTGTAGGCAAGTGTTCGCACGACTTCATTAAATCCAACTCGCCGGTTAATCAATCAATCACTTTGTACTTTTGCTCTTTCGCCTGTACCAACAACAAGAGAGATAGAAAGAGCAGAATGGGTTCTTTGATGGCCAATGGTCGGAGCCAGTCGACCTGAAAATTTGGTCTCTTGCAAGTTTGTCCGGCAAACATTGAGTCGCCCTGGAAAAAATATCAAGCAGACGGACGGCGTAAGGCAAAGTTGCCGCCGTGCAAACACTTGTTTCTCAAGTCCTCTTTGTCACATACAAAATCGAGTGGGCAGGTTTATAATGACGCTCGGAGGGCCTACTTCACGTGCAGACGATAATAGGCTGCTTCATGGTGACCGACAGGGTGGTGAAGCAATTGTCTCTAATTGTAAGATGAACATGCTACAATTAATTAGGTTTCCATATTTTAAATAGCTCAAGCAAAAAGATCTTATTGGATGTAACAAAAAGCAGGGATCTAAATCAACTGGAAAAAAATCTACAAAATTTATCATCATTATTTAGAATCTTCTTTTTTCAAATCAGGGATGAAAGTTTTAATGATTTGTGAAAAAAAAATTAGAACAAGAAAAATTAAAATTGTGCTAATTTGCACTTAAAAAGTATAAAACTTTAAAAATTCTATTTTGTAAGAAAAATAGGTCTCGCGAAAAAGATGAAAAAAAGTTGTTATTTTGTATCAAAATACATTTTACCGAATGAACTTTTGAGTGGGAATAAGAAAATTTGTTTCACTTGCTTCTAATAAACAAATAAAATGTAATAAAAAATGTAATAGCTTTTTCTGAAACAGCTTTTTTTGCAGACATTTTAAAGTGCTACTATATTTTTTGTGTTGACTGATTGCGAGATCATATTTCATGATCATCCCTCTAAAAATAGGAGACCACTTGAGTGAGAGGTTAGGCAATCCGCCCGACCCATCTACTGTGCACGCTGCATACTTTTCTTCCACAAGCGACTCTTTCCAAATCAGTGACTCGGCGAACGCCGTCGATATAAAAAAAGCGTCGAGTGCGCCCGCATTTTGTAATCGCATTATGCACGGCAGGGGAGAGCGAGACAAAATCCTCCTAGGAGAGTGATGGAGACAGTTCATTACGACCTTTAGTATATCAGGCAGTGCACAGAGTATGTATGTTGGGCTTAGACTCGAACGTATAAGGTACGGCAGGGCTGTAAAAACGGCGGCCAGACTAGATATTGCTCACAAAAGGAAGTCATCCCAGGCTTGTTTTAGCCTCGCATAAAACAGCGGAGATTTTTTTACTCCCTCTCTCGAGAGAAAAACATAACGAGCTGCTCCGGATAAGAAAACAGCGCGAGATAAATGCATCGGCATACATTTATCCTCGGAAGGACGCCAAGCCTTTCTCTTCCACTCGCATTGTGTTTTCTCTGTCGGTGCAAGGCAAAAAGGCACTTCCCTTCCTTCTCTGTTGCATTTTCTCAGAGCAAACAAATGTGTTTATGGACTCGTAATGCTTTTGCTCTTTTGAATATGCATTCGTTTTCCAATCCAGTAACCCTCTCTGCAAAGAGCCATTACTCTTTGCTTGCCTTTCTTTGTTTCTCAAAACACGATTGTGTTGTTTTTATGCTGCTGAGAGCTAATTGTGAATATCTGGAGCAAACGTCAAGCCATTCCCTTCAAAAGGCTCTCTTAGTCAGAATCTCTCATTTACTTATATTGTGTTTGCATTCTCCTCTCTGATGGGATTTGTTTTTGTGAGTGGTTATTTATTGTTAACCCTTTGATATTTTGAAGTTTCAAGAGCGTCCTTTCAACTTTCACAATCAGAAGCAGAAGTGCTTTGATAAGTTTGTAATTAATGTCTTAAGTCTAAACTCAGCAAACAAAAAGAAAATGTAATGAGCTTTCTTTTATTTTAAATATTGCATACAAAATAATACAAAAAACTTGAATTTTAATTGATTTCATAATTTATTAATTTATATTGAAAATATGAGTAAATAAAAAAAAATAAATAAAAAAAATCACCAACTCTAAAATTTAGAATACACATACTATTTTGGAGTATTTTTTACGTATTATAAATTCCGTTTGATTCTCAAACGAAGAAAAATTATATTTGATTTGCAATTAAATTAGAAATCAGCTCTATTACACTGACAGACTTAACTTGAAAACAAGACAGTGTTTTCAATTTCGATCTACTTGCTGAATCACTTCTTTTTACTTTGTA